CATGGAACCCATAAAAACAGCTCCTCTCTTTTATTTTTCTCTGAAAATTTCTCGAAAGGCTTGGCGAATCTCTGTGAAAGTGTCTTACCTTGCGTGAGAGTGAGGTAACATTTGTCCGTTAGAGGTGTGTGAACGAGTTTCGGTGTATTACCCTGAAACAATCTGTAAAAGATGAATAAAGAAAAATATGCGACTTTTCACCCTTTACTGCTGTACTCCTCGACATTCAGACCAGATTTTCATTAAAATCCCCCTCCCTATCAGAGCAGACTCAGTGGAAGTTTGCCCCTAGGGTAGTTTTCCTAAGTATAAAGTTGGGAAATGATTTGAGTGAGAAATTTTAACATCAAGCCTTTACAGGTCTTCACAAGATGGTCTGTAAGATCCGATAAGTACTATTTGGTGTCCCCACCAAGCCGAACTGCGTCAGTACTAACTGAAGCGCCGAGATTTCGCAATTCAAACCAATAAATAGAGTAACCTGGTACTCATAGGTATAGTTGAACTCGCTGTTCACTTGTCGTGCCACGACCGCATCTCCGACAAGATAAAATCGCAGCTGACGTTGCCATGTCCAGCACTGAGATGAACTGGAAAGACTACGACTATACGAAGAGCAGGTTGGTAGAGGGGGCGTTTCTAAGGACCCATAACATACCTGGCTTGATTGTTGGTGAGCTGGTCCACAACATCGATGTGATGAATAAGGTCCAGGATCAGAGCCTTCAATTTGAGATCCAGCACAACATCGCTGACTTTCGTATTGGTGTAAACCTTGAGCTGCTCCTGCAGAGCTGACTTCAGTTTGGCAAAATCTCTCGAGCCATCCAGCGCCTGGAATGTGCCTGCTTGATCCTGTCAAAACTTCACCAAACAGTGCATCTCTGTTGCATATGTTAACGGTGTTACATATAGGGCACGTCCTGTCGTTGAAGAAAATTTCACAAAATATCACCCCGCCCCCGCCAAGTTTCCTCCTCTAGTACCACCCAGCTCTGGCATCCCCAATCTGTCTACCATGCCCTTGAATTTTTGCAACTTTCCTCTACAATGCGATGTTCCCCACCCCCTTGCTGGATCCCCGATGTACTACTAGCCCTGGCTTCGCATAAATAAGAGAGAGCAGCTGTGGCCGTTTCGGGCCCGCCACTCTGATCATCTCGCTCTCCCCGCTAATGGCTCCTTCCAGACACATCAATGAAAAGGTGGCGCTGGCGCAAGTGACCCCGCCCAGACGACGAGAGAGGATTCTACTTTGAGGGTAGAGTCATGAAGACGACCCCTGTTCAACAATTTCCGGCCAGAAGGTCGTACTTGCTCAGCAAGACAGAGAACTTGTGACGGATACCTGAAAAAGCACTTAAGGTCTAATGCATCGATGTGATCTTTTGCTGACTTGCAATACCTGGCTGGATCAAGGTTCTCATCACGAATCGCTTCCACTGACAGCTTTCTTAAATGTTGATCAGCATTTCATCTGGAGAGATTTGGAAGGCCACACCTATAAATAAGCAGTTTCCCAACATCTGTGTCTCATTACGAGACCGCCTAGGTAGCCTTAGAGGGATATGGTTAAAATCTGTCCGTGGTAGGAGCTGCTCGAGACTTTAGTTAACTAAAAGTAAGGCTCTGCTAAAACTTTCTAGACGCTGAATAAGTACGGCTCAAGTTAGTATGCTCTCCGGGACCAGTAGCAAGAATGTCACTGAGAAACTGCTTCTCAAACCTAGTTGGGTAGCCAGGAAGTAGAGCCGACCTTACACCAGAATTGCACCCGAAAATCTTAAAAGAGCATTCGGCGTCATCGTATTTGCCCAACCAGACCCATCGTCGCAATTTCTTCACTGGCATATTCTCCCGCTCTACGGTCTACAAAATGAGCAGGCGCACCGCTGAGAGAATGGCACAATGTAGGTCCATCTCCCCTATAGACGCTGGCGTGGAATACGCCGCTTGCTTGAAAAGCTAGCCAGTAGGGATTAGCCGTTTCCGAGCGTATAGGACACTTGGAAGCGAATCAGATATAGCTGCTTACCAACTAATGTTGCCGACTAACTCTGTAATATATGCGAATATTGTGAGGGGGCACGATACAGTTCTTTTTGCGTGGATGCTGGGCACGTCAGGAGAGTGGTTTGTCCACCAATTGTTGTTCTTTCCCTTCAACAATTGATGGAGGACAGGCTGGCGCCGTGCCCAGCTCCCGCATTAGCCGAAACGCCCCATCATCCGAAGCGAACAAGTCCATACAATGAATGTGCTGTCTATACCTTGCTCAGAAAAACTCAAATTCCACCGTAGAGATAAAAGGTCTCTTCGCATAGATGGAGTTTTTCTGAGTCGTTATCAGCTAAACTGACCACGTCTAATTAAATAATTAGTAAATGACAGATGTTGCACCAACGAAACGGCGTAGCGCGTGCTTAGTGATTCATACAAGTCTAGGATGAATCACATGGTAACCATGTTCCTCTGGCTTTCTGCCTCACATCCTAATCATGCGTTTTACGGAGAAGCTTGGGAAGCTTGGGCGAAGAAACCGCGTTTCAGCTGGGAAAAAGTCCTATACCTCTAAGCCTTAGATGAAGCAAAATTGTAAATGCATGATAAATAAAATGTTTGTACACTCTAGTTCGCTGCGGACAGTTGGGCGTGTCAGGCAGTATGAGTGGTCACCCTGTCAAAGCCGTTCTCTGCAAGTTGCTGAAGCAGGTAGGCGACAACAAGTTAGTTGCGAAACGCACGGCTGATTACAGTCGTTGTCACTTGCTCGCTTTAACAGCTGCGTGGAGAATGGGTTTGGCACCGCTCCAAACTCATCCCGCCTGACACGCCCAAGTGTCCGCACCGAACTACACTATATTTGCAGGCATCTCGGTTTCCACGGAATGAAGTGACCTCTACTGTACTCACCTCGACTTGTGGAACCACTCGTACAGGATGACTAAGCGGAACGTGTTCTCCTTGAACGGAAAGCATAGCCGAAATCGTTTCATTGTTAGCACCAAATACCACCTTGTCGATTCCCTAAACTGCCATGTTTTTACTCCTTTTCCCTTATTCATGCACAGACGATTAATATCAACTCGCTAGCTACGTGAAGGCAGTTGCCACGGATAAATCCCCCGACGACTAGGATCGGGTGGACTCCTATGGCAGGATAGAAATTCGCGACCTTTGGGCAGTGCGTTGATAGCTGTTCCCCGAGCGAAGGCGCTTTTATAAGGCGCCTATCAATGCCACAACTTTCGGTCCCAAAGCCCACGCCCGCCCGCCCACAAATGGACGACCGTTCCTGACGCTTTATTCATTCATTTGCTAAGCAAATTATGAAGCGAAGGGATTGGTATGAAGCGGCGTGATGCTGCATGCATATATGGGTACACATATGCAGCCGTATCTTCGGTAGCGGTGATTGGTAAGATGCCTACGGGAAAACTGTACTCCGAAATTGACTTACGACGTCACTCAGAACAGCAGGCTTTTTTTCTTGCGAGATTTTGACGTTTCATCTCCTTCTTTTCGCCATTTCCCCACTATGCAGCGCCCTACTAGCATTTTAGGCTAAATATGAAACATCGTGCCAACGGCTTTTAAATTCATCGTAGATACAGTTTCTTCGACTGTTTCAGTCTTTTGAAGTGGAGCCAGAGATTCGGTTTTTTCTAGAAATCGGCTCCTTCATGGAGATTTCTACTCCATGAAGACCAATATCTAGCCTCGCCGCGCCAGCGCACAGGCACCGGCGCTGAAATGCCTAAATTGACTAATTTAGCTGAGAACTTGTCCACGGGTTCAGCTGAACTTTCCAAAGGAACTTTCCGAGGTTTGGTGTATCGGTTTGAACTTCTACTTGGACAACGTCAGAACTGCTTAGCAGAAGGAGTTCTTTGAGTCCCGCCCTCGTCTGCCCCGAGGCTCTTAGCACTTTAATTGTCAGATGTTCCAGTGGAAACTTCTCAAGAACTTCGGTTGTCGAACCTGGAACAGCTTCTTCAAGTGCGACTGAATCACTGTCGGATTCGTTGATTGTCCAAGGATCTCCAGCAAATCGTCATCGCCCAAAAAGTAGAACCTCGGGAAAGCGGAGCGCTTCTCCTGAAACAAAACTTGTGAATTTGTTGCTAAATTCTAAACCGCATGTCGGTAAGAGCGGCGCCACACGTACGACCCAGGGTCAACTCCAAGATTACACCGTGTCCAAGTCAAATAAAGATTTCGCTCTTTTTAAAGCCTATTAATATCTGAATCGCTTGTGAGGATAAAACACGAAATGCACATCCGGGCATCAGAATGTCAGCTCGCAGCGCATGGGTGGCTACCTGCCTGCTCAGAACGCCCAGATTCGGGCCTACTGTTGGGCTAAAGCCTATACATAGTAACAATGCATATCTGACCTCCAGGAACTGATTGAGCGCCTTTTGGCAGCGATTCAATTGATCGATAATCTGCTCCAGACTTTTCCGGAGCGAATGTCGACTGCACAAGGAGAATCAGACGAGCGTCCCGGACCACATCTAGTAAAAGCAAATTTCGCCAAAAATTAATAAAACAAGTTAGAATAACTCCGAAATTACATTTCAGTTAGTGGAAACATATGAATAAACACCCGAAAGTTGCATATTAATGAACCCTAAAACTTTTCTAATCAAATCTTTCGTTGTTCAGGAGTACCTGCTAAAATTAGTCGAAACTCGCTGTCAACACGAGCAAAGCGGCTGGCCTCAGCTGGCAATGCGCCGCGGCCGAAAATCGGCTCCAAATAGATCCATTTTCTTTGGATGTCGTTCATTTGAGGAAGGTAGA